AAAGCCTCTCACATCATTTCACTGGGTCATTTCTAGGACAAGAATTGCCATTTATCCAGCATATCCCTATTATAATTCATCATCATATTAACATAGTGATAGGTTTTTTCAAGTAATCCTTATTTTACTGACTGTCTCCAAAACCAAAAAAATGTTATAATATCTTGTTATACTTGTTTTATTACTACTTGTTAATTTCTTAGTGTGCTTAATTTATAAATGGAACTTTGTCATCAACATATATAGGAACAAGTGTATGTAATAACATGATGTTAATGGATTATGGGATCCTCTGAAGGCCTTGAAAATATGTATAAAGGGTACTATTATGATGAAAGACAAAATTGCAATGGACATGGGAAAAAGAAAACAGATATAGTATGCCATTTGTTGTTCAAAATTTCATTCTTTTTAATAGCATTCTAATGGCATGTTTTACCTCTGCATTCCTTACTGTGTATATAACAGGATTTAACATGGGAGTGACAATAATATAAAACACTGCTATTGCTTTATCCAGGGGAAAGGTTGTCACTGGTCGCATATACATAAAAATACATGGCACAAAGAACAATACAACAACTGTGATATGAGAACCACAGGTAGAGAGAGCCTTTTTCCTCCCTGCAGAGCTGTGTGTCCTCAAGGAGCACAGAATGACCACATAGGACACAAGCAGCATTGTGAAGGTGATCACAGGGATTACTCCACCATTGGCAGCAACCAGGAGACCAAGAATAAAAGTGTCAGCACAGGCCAGTTGCAGCAGGGGGAAAATGTCACAAAAGAAGTGATCCAAGACATTGGGGCCACAAAAAGGGATCCAGAGGGTAACAAGTATCTGCCCAAAGGAATGTAGGAAACCCACTACCCAACACATTCCCACTAGGAGACAGCAAGTGCGGTGGTTCATCCTAGTCACATAGTGCAGAGGTTTACAGATGGCCACATAGCGGTCATAGGCCATGACCACAAGGAGGACAATCTCTGAGGCTCCTAAGAAATGTTCAACGAAAAGTTGAATCATGCAGGCATTGAATGAGATGGCTTTTGTCTCTGATAGCAAATCTGCCAGCATTTTAGGTATCGTGCAAGAAGAATAGCATGCATCTATCAGAGATAAGAAAGCCAGGAAGAAGTACATTGGTGAGTTCAAAGTCTGGCTACAGACTATGGTCCCAACAATGAGGAGGTTTCCTGTGACAGTGATGATGTAGGTGATTAGTAATACCAAAAGTAGAATTCTCTGCAGCTGGGGATTCTGTGTCAGTCCCATGAGGATGAATTCAGTCACATTCATTCTTTTTTGTCTCATTTGAATGATGGGTGCTTAGAATTTCTGAGTTATCCTGGAAAAAATATTATTTTGCCACATTGTATGCAGAAGAGAGAAACACACTATGCCATCTATTTTATGAAAAGAAATCAGAAGTAACCTTAACATCTTATAAAGGTTTTTATTTGAAGCTAGGTGCCATCAAAATGTACCACTGAAGAACTGCTTTTGAATCTCTCATTTTAATTCCTACACAGTCTTAGCTAGTATATGTATACATATCAATCGGTACAAAATGAATTTCTTAAATAAATTATATCAGTTTGTAGATGGTTTCTATGCTTGTCTGTGTTTGTTTGACATGCAAATGCTAATAGTTACCTAGATGTAACAAAGTGTTAAGATTTATTGAGTAGTTTATTTATAAGGTCATTTCTATATACTTCTTAATTATCTCTAGTAAGTGAATGTACAGTTATAGAAAGTAAAAAATGCATCCTTTTCTATTCTTCATAGAGGAAGGAGATAGGAAATTAGGAAATAGAATTATATAACATATCTGTTCATAGAACTTGCCCTGTAAATGATTTGTCAAGATAAGCCAGATACAGAGCCTTAAGTAAACAAATATCTTCAATACCATAGCCAGAGAAATTCATTAAGATGGGATTCATAACTAGTATAAAAGAGAGTGAGGAGAGAGCTAAGATGACATCTAAAATAAGGCTTCTGATAAAAAGATCATCAAGAAAAATCCCTGTGGAATGAGAAGGATTAAAGGCCATGACCTAGGGGAGCATGGGGCTTGGCAAAGTATGAAAGCACAAGTTGGTTGCAGTCTTGGATGGCTTTAGACCACTGTATAGGGCACAGTTTTATTAAATATGACAAATTAGGCATTGCCAAATTTTATACAGAAGATCAATACAATCTGACTTAACTGCCTTCTCAACTGTTCTATCCAAAGAACAGGACATGGATAATAGGAGAAGCTGACCAACTGACATTATGTTCACAATTCAGTTGAAAGAAGATGGTGTCTTGGACCAAGGTGGTAGCTGTAAAAATGTTTCTACAAATTTGATTGACAGGGAGTTTATACAAGGAAAATAAACATTACAAAGTTTTAATTTTGTATAAACAGAAGAAACTACTGTCACTTACTAAGACTATCTAGTGTACAAACCTCTAAGTTAGGGTTTATCAAGTGCAAGATTCCTTTATCCATATGTCAACATTGAATCTTAATGTTATTTGTGTTATTAAGGATGAAATAGGACAGAGAATGTTAGGAGCCTGTTCAGTATTACTTAATAGTCCTCAAACATAGTGTTATGTTGAAATGAAGAAAAAACACATTACAAAATATATGGTTAGCCTCAAAAAACTTGAATACTTTTGGTAAAATAAGACAATTGACCAGATGAACCACTTTGAGAATGACAGAGAGACACATTCATTCATTAGAACAAAGTAGGTAGAAAGAAGGCAGTTGTCATATAATCTATTTAACTTGTGCTGAAACTTTTAGAAGAGATGCATTATTACTAGTTACTGTGTAAACAGAAGACATAGCCTTACGACTGTAAACACTGAATATTGTCTGAGGCCACATCTATTCATGCTACTCAAAAACACCACATTACATAAGAGAATAATGTACCTGTTAACCACTCATTTGCATCTGTTTTAGTCATTAAATGTGTTCTTTTAGGTTTTATTTAACAAGATGAATACTGATAAATTATCTAACATATGTATATGTACATAGCAGACTCACCAGTTAATTTTTTTTCATTAGGTATTTAAGAGACCATTTCACAAATACATTTCTAAGATGAATGCCGCATGGGATTTTCTGGAACTAAGAAATCCATGTACTTACAAGAGTTGTCTCTCTCTGATATTCTTCCCTTTAACCTATTTTTTCTTCTTCACTCATCAACAATTTCTCTTTTCTGTAAAATCTGAGACCTGAGACGCTCACTGATCCCAGTCTCTTCTAATGCTGCCAGATGGTTTTTAGCCTGAAGATAAAATGAGCACTAAAGTTAGGAAATGATATTCCAACTTTCTAGTCTAGAAGAATTTGTCTTGACTTCCTCATACATCAAAACACAAACAATTCCTCTAAAAAGAAATTTAGAATTTTAGAACAATAAGACTCCAATTATATTCTGTATTTCATCAAGTAAGATTATCATGACCCTTGGGGAGAAAGGCATCCTTAGTGTGGTTCCTTTCAGGGACTTGCATCTTCCTCCAATTGTTAATGTGTTTTTATTATTTCCCTCACATAAATCAATGTATGTGCACTTTTATAATCTTTTCCTGTTCATGGTTTTAGGATTAACACAAACTTTGAAAATTTTAAGAAAAAGGTAATGTATCTGACTTTCCTCATGAGCAGTGAGGATAACACAGTTAATTGAAAAGTTCTGAAAGATACTATCCATAATTTAGTGTTCCTATTTTGTTGATAGAAAACTGAGACATGGGAAACTTAAGCCTTGTATTCTAGGAAGAATGCATCTGAGCAACACCATCTCAGGACTCTCTGTTTTAAGTCTTGGTCTTCATTTGATCTTACAGAACTTCACATTTAACAACTCACCTGGACAGGCTATTCTTTCCTAAGAGCAGCTTTCAGATACGCCCTTTAGAAGAGTGCTTCTCATCCTAATTCATGGAAGAGATTTATAAAAATGATCAGAAAGACTCTTGAGAATTTGAAGTATATGAACTCCTCATAATCCTTTGGGAATTTTGCATCACACTCAGGAGAATTTAGAATTAGCAACTTATTTACTTTGCAAAGTTAGTTAATAATACATGACAAGCTCTGCTTAAAGAGTACTCACTGTCTGGCCAAAATTCACTATTGAAAAAAAATATACATTTTCATTGTTTGTTTTTAAGCCACATTTATATTCACTGCACAATAATTTTATGATATAACTATATTTCTTCAAACTTGGACAGCAGTCTAGTTTATTTTGCTTACCCCAGGATTTTTTGCTTACTCTCTTGGAAGCTTGCATGTTTTATATTAGTATAAATTTATTTATTTTAAATCTTGGCCAGTTTCCCTCTCTCCTCCCAACCCCTCCACTCCCTCTATTCTCATGCTCCAATCCATTCCACCTGAGAAAAGGGCAGTTCTCTCACAAATATTAACAAAACATGGTATATCAAATTGTAGTAAAACTAAGCATCTTCCTATGTTTTCAGTCTGGGCAAGGTGACACAGTATAAGGAATGTGGTTCCAAAATCCAGTAGAAGTGTTGGAGACAGCCCCTGTTCACACTGTTAGGAATCTCAAAAGAGGACCAAGCTATACAATTGTAGTATATATGGAGACATAGGTCAGTCCTGTATTTTTTAGAATCACAGATGCTGTACTGAAAGAAGCTTTTAGGTCAGATGCAGCTTGAAGCATTAGAGTTGTGTCCTAAGTGGATGATGTCTTCAGTGAAAAGGACTCAGCATCAACCTCTGAGGGGCAACCAAGAGCTTCATCAATAATTTGCATTATCTTTTCCTTTGGGGAGTTGTTTGAGCCACCCTGACCAACCAACCATTTACAAGGAGGTTTCTCAGGTCTGGTACTGGTAAATTGGTTAATTTATGATTCCTTTTGGGAACATTTTCAGCATAAATGGCTTAACTTCTATATATCCATGTATGGATATTTATATCAATGTATCTATCAGGTGAATGGATTCAAGTGGAAAAGGATATATATGTACGTATATCATACTGGATATACGTACATAAACATATATATGTATATATAATATACAGTGTTATGTATGTATCCATACAAATATTGCATATAATATTAAATATAAATATAAAATAATATAAATCTTTAGGCTTTATCAAACAACTGTGGTGCTATTTGTTCTCAGCTCTCCTTCTTTTATGTTGCCCTTACTTTTTCCTTCCCAGTTGAAGCTTTCTCCCTTTTGTTATTCAGTTTCTCCCTTCTACTCACCTATATGCATTCATCTCCTCACCACAACCCATGGTCCCTCTATACTTTGTTGATTTTATTGTTACTCCATATAGAATAATCATATCAGAGGATATCTAGTTAGGAGCTACCAGATTGAAGACTATGTGCTGTTTATCTTTCTATGTCTGGGTTAAGTCATTCTGTATAATCTCTTCTAGGTCCATCTACTTAGGTGCAAAATTCATGATTTTATTTTTCTTTATAGCTGAATAGTATTGCATTGTGTATATGTACCACATTTTAATTATCCAACCATCTGTTGAAGGATATTTAAGCTGTTTCCATCTCCAGCTATTGTGAATAGGGTGTCAAATGAGTATGGTTGAGCAAGTTTCTTTGGAATAAGATGTCAAGTCTTTGGGACTATGCAAAGGAGAGGAACTGCTACGTCACATTTTATTTAAAAATTTTTTAAATTTTATTTTGATTTTTCTAATTTTATAAGCTTTAGATCAAACTTTTTTCAGAAGTTGAAAGTGTTAAACATGTGGAACATATTCCTTGTGGTAAATGGTATATTTGAGAAATAAACTATTTTGTATTAATTCATTAGATCTAAGGATCACACTGAAGAAGACATTTTTGGAAACTAATAGATCATTTATGATTTCATTATGAACAGTCAGAACTGTTCTTGTCTATATAATTGCAAATGGAGATGATGTGCCTGATTCTGATAGTATACCAGTTTTTTTTTTCTCTAAATAGTGACAGAAGTAGATAAGAATTGTGATAGTATGATAGCCTCTGTATCAGGACAATACTCTATTAAACTGACATTTCCCCAAAAGTATACCTGGAAGCATTCAAATTGGGAGGATTTTGACTCCTAAAGAGCATTAAGTACCCATTTTCTCTAACTTGCAGGTTTATTTACAAACATTTAATCTGGTAAGTTTAAATGATTTTTATTTATAGCTTTTAAAATATTTATTGAGTACATATTAGATTATTGTATTGGTGATAAAAGACATGAAAGAATAATATAATTTCTGCCGTGACAAGAATTATAATTAGAACAAAGACAATATAAAAACTAAGTGTGTGTGTGTGTGTGTGTGTGTGTGTGTGTGTGTGTGTGTGTGTGTATAAGGTTTAGAATGAATGTCTCTTCCTAGCCTAATATTCACCGATTTTGCTAGGCTAGTTAACAAGCAAGTTGAAAGTCTCTGCCTGGCCTGTTGTGATCTCAAAAACTCTGGAAATACAAAAACAAGACCCATGCCCAGATATTTGCTGGGGTTGTGGAGTAAAAATCAGGTCCTTGTGATTTCATGGCTAGTACTTTATCATCCCAACCTCTGAGAAATAGTTCTAAATTATAAATTCTGATCATAAATCCTCAGGGTACAATGTGGCTGTAGGAGTAAAGATTAAGTGAAGGCAATGATCAGATAAAGTTAAGGATTATTTTTCTTTTGGTTTCAAGTAGGAATGTATCTTGAAAAACCATATAGAAAGTTAGTCAAATCTTTTGGAATATATTTTTCTAGCTAACATAAAAGAAATGACTCTAAATTTGGAGTTCACATTGTTAAAATGCACAGTTTTTAAATGTATGACTAGAAAAATCTGAGGACTATGTCAAATAAAATATACTTGTGTCAAGAAACTAGACTGCTTGTGTCAAGAAACTAGACTCTGACATGCATAGACAGACCACCATGGTATCTTAGATAAGTTCCATACACTTAAATAAAATCTCTCACTACTATATTTCAAGTGGAATCATAGTACTCCTAAAGACAACTCTTCCCAGCTTTGTAGAAAGTATTCAGTCCTTATCATATCAGGCTATACCACTTGAGGTCCCCGTTTCTTCCACAATTTCCTCAGTTCATTTTTCACTTCTGCATTCCTCAAGGTGTAGATCAAAGGGTTTAACATTGGTTCAACAATGATAGCAGACACAGCCATTGCCTTATCTATGGGGTAAGTGACCACAGGCCTCACATACAAGTAGATACAAGGTACAAAGAACAGCACAACCACTGTGAAGTGAGAACTACATGTGGAGAGGGCTTTGCGCCTTCCTTCGGAGCTGCAAGACTTCAGGGAGAACAGGATGACTATGTATGAAGCCGTGAGAATAAGGAAAATTGTCACACACATTACCCCACTGTTGAGAATGACCAAGAGACCCAGAATCTGTGTGTCCATGCAAGCCATTTGCAACAATGGAAACAAGTCACACATAAAATGGTCAATGACACTGGGTCCACAGAATGGTATTTGATACATAAAGAGAAGTTGAATGGTTGCATGCATGGATCCTCCCACACAAGCCCCTCCTACCATCAGGCAGCACATTTTAGGAGTCATGATAGTCATGTAATGTAGGGGCTTACAGATGGCTATGTAGCGATCATAGGCCATCACAATGAGAAGAATGATCCCTGCACCACCTAAGAAATGGTCTGCAAAGAGCTGGGTCATACAGCCTTCAAAGGAGATGGTCGTTCTGTTAAAAAGGCCATCCACAATCAACTTGGGAGTAGTGACAGATGAATAGGTGACATCTAGGAGAGACAGAGATGTGAGGAAGGAATACATGGGTGACCTCAGACTGTGGCTTCTAGTTATCGTTATTATGATGAGTAGATTTCCCAACACCGTGGCTATATACATGATTAGAAACAAAGCAGAGAATAGCTTCCTCAGCTCTGGATTTTTTGTAATTCCCAAAAGAATAAACTCAGTCACATTGTTTGGATTTTCCGTATGCTGGTGAAAGCCTGGAACTCTGAACTGGGGGATCTGAAAAAAAAGTTTGTTTTTGTTTGATTTTTGTAAATTATTTTTATTTAATTCTTTCATACAACGTATTTTGATCATATTTTCCCCTTGCCTAGCTTCTCCCAGATCCTACCCTCCCCCTGCACAAATAACTCCCCTCCCCTTTCCTCCCTACCCTCCATCTCTCAAAAATAAAAATATAAATTAAATTTTAAAAACCCATATTTTGGTTTGGACTTTTTGTCTTTTAAGAATGTTATTTTTAATGAATAATCCCTGGTCACACTGGACATCATTCCCCCCCTGTGAATGCCATCAACTAGGACTGTAGAAACCAACTAATTCCAGTAAAATCCCATACCTTTTATTTCTATTAATCCCATTTCAAGGAATCTTTCACAGATACATTTTTTTGCTTTCTGTTCTGGTAGTCTATTTGGAAAACCTAGGAAACTTGATTCACCATGTTAGCTTGTACATATTCCTAGGATTCCTATTCATATGATTAACAGCCTTGGGAAAACCTTGATCATTGGTAGGTAAAAGCATGGATATAAGTAATAATCAATTTAGTACAATAGTGGCTAAATCTTTTGTTTATATCTCACACTTTTAATGTCTATTTTATTACACACACACACACGTATGTATAAGATATTCATTCAGTTTCTCTTTTAACCACCTTGAACTGAGGATGCTGACATTCATTTTTCAATAAATATGAGAAACACTTGTAAAATATTGTAATTTCTTAATATAACTTTATATAATTTATTAAAAATTCCACTGAATGTTTGGAGAAAGTTAATAGCTCCTGGACCCACAGTCCTATAGAAATAAAGATATGTTATGTTATGCTTATGTTAATAGAAACCAACATGTCAGGAACTGATAAACATTAGTATATTCATGATACCTGGTTTTTATTCTTATGAAAAGTATGAGAGATATCTGGCCATCACAGTTTACAGCACAGACTAAGTGTATAAGTAACTATTATCTCCAAAAAAAAAAACCAACAAAAATAAACTCAAATTTCTATGTGAATAAGAACAGTCTTTGTCTCCTTGTCAATTTCTGTGAATAAAACTTAGTAGACTTATAAAACTGGGGCTGAGGCCGGGCTTTTTTGGCACAAGACTTTAATCCCAGCATTCCGGCGGCAGAGGCAGGCAGATCTCTGTGAGTTCGAGGCCAGCCTGGTCTACAAGAGCTAGTTCCAGGACAGCCTCAAAAGCCACAGAGAAATTCTGTCTCGAAAAACAACAACAACAACAACAACAACAACAAACCAAAAACAACAACAACAACAATAACAACAAAACTGGATTAACCTCCTTTGGTGTATATGTGATCATGTTTACAAAACTAGTTATTAAATATCCCACTCCTCAATTCCACTAAAAATTTCTGTCTTACCTTGTAATACTTTAGAGGACTACAAAGGAAACAAAACATGATAATATGTTTGTAGACTACTGTTCAGTAATTCACCATGATTATTTCTCTAAGCTTCTCAAACTACTCATGACTCTGTTTATGCCCTCTACTAGCAAGTTGATAAACACCCCTCCTTTATTCCTCTCTTCCTCACTGCTTCCTTCATCACCATCATCCTTGGCATCATTTAATTCTCTTTCACTGATTTCATATTAGCCATAATTCAATTATTTTGATTTTCTTTTTAAAATTTATGTAGATTTCTATCTTTATATGAGGAGGGTTAAGGATAACAAATTTATTATTTTTGTCAATTTTCTGTTGCTATGCAACAAACAATGATTTAAATAATTTAATTCAACACATAAAATTAAACTGAATCACAAGGCACTAGCATGGCTAACATGAATTCTATCTCCAGGAATGAAAGCACCATGAGCAGAGCCTAACTGGCAGTGATTTGGCATCCGTTCTCAATACCTACTTACTGCCTTCATCTTTTCCATTTCAGTCTTACACATTTTATATCCAAAGTCAATATTCATCACTGAAACCTTGCTATCATATACTTTTAGCAGATTAAATGTTGATGCCTAATTACATTAATGAAAATTAAACTAAAACCAGTTGGTAGTTCAGGGCTTTTCATCCTAACACCATCATTGTGCACACAAATGAAACAAAGATTAATTAATTTAAAAGACAATTATCAATAATATCTGTGAGTAATCATATCAAGTTTACTACTCATTTTTTATAACATTCTAAAATTTCAATTTGATGACAGTTATACAGCCTTGAAAAGCCATTTACCTATTGATCCCCCTAAATAAAGCACAAATATTGTGCAAGTAAGATGTCTAATCCCACATCAAAATGACCAAAAAGATTCAGGTCCAGAAACATGGTCCCATGTGGATGCCTCTAAAGCAGAGCAAGGACTCAGAAGAGAATTTGACAAACCAGTCATCCATGGGGAATCGATCTTGACAGAAATGTAGTTTCCAACGATTTCAAAGAAAGATTAAACAAAGATGCTTGTTGTGTCCATAGGGCTAACTAGGAAATGACTGTGATAGGGAAGGGGTTTAATTGTTCTCTACATAGGAAAAGCTCCTGGAAAAGCAGCCAGCATGTTTTCACAAATTCATTCATGTTTCCATGCCTACCATTTGCTGGTATTTTGAGGTTAGTTTGTACACAATCTCCAAATCACATTTTAAAATAATGATCAATACTATGTGGCCTGTGAAGTAATGTTGAAGGGTAAAAGAACTCAGTCGGCACCTTTCAAATGGTTCATATTTTCAAGATGGGCATTCTTGCATCATTCTATGTGCATCCTTTTGAGGTTTTGTCTCCACTGACTAACTTTTACAAGTAAATTCCCATCCATTGTTACAGTGATCAGAGTTTTCCCAAGAGTGTGGGATTACACTGGAACAAAGCCAACCTGAAACTTCAGAAGAAAAAGCAAAAAAACAAAACACAAAAATCCCTTAAACAGGAAATACATCGTTAGAAGATTTAATTAGTTAAATTAGTTATTATATATGAAACAAAATCCATGCTCTTGAAAATAAAGATATATAGAGTAATAATTTTCCCGGCCATAGCTTCAGTGCTCTGAGCCAAACATTACTCCTCAATATCCTCGTACTCTGTTTGTATTTTCAATTTACTATTGTAAGCATTTCACTTACTCCTAGCTTCAGGATAGTTACAGTTATTAAAGATTTTTAAAAATATAGCTGTGAGCTAAAGAATTAAGTAATTGATCTTTCTCAATCTGTAACAGTTAATATTCTAAAACAGTGATTTTTCAATCTTTCAAATGCTGTGACCCTTTAATATCATTCCTCATGTTGTGGTAACCCTCAAACATAAATTATTTTCGTTGCTAATTCATACCTGTAACTTGCTACTGTTATGAATCATAATGTAAATGTATGTGTCTTGTGATGGTCTTAGACAACCATTAGGAAAGTGTTGCTTGACTCCCTGGAGAGGTCCTGACACAAAGGTTGAGAAACACTGTTCTAAAATCATTTTTAATTTTGAAAAATACGCAATCACTGTTCTTTTTCTATGTCCAAACCATACATCAAAAAACAAACAGAAAACTTACTAAAGCCCTCCATTTTCAATATGCTTCACAGACTACAAGTGATTTGTTCACAGACATACTGTGAAGTGTTCTAAGAAATAAACATTTCAATTGTAGCAAATATGACCCTCAGAGTTGGTCTGTGGTTTCACCTGATTAGCTGTGGGTGGACACAGTGCCCTCAACCTTCTATTATTATTCTCCTCCCACAAGTGAGGAAGATATTTAGATGTTTGGACCATTTACTTTCACTACTTCTGAGATAAGGCCACAGTGAGGTCAGTGAAATAGTTTAGCTGTCAATGGCACTGAGGTCAAGCCTGAAGAGGTAAGCGGGATCCCCAGGACTCATGGTGGAAAGAAAGAGTTGACTCCTACATTTTTCCAGTTGATCTCCATTAATGTGATTCCTAGCACACACACACACACACACACACACACACACACACACACACACACACACACACACAGCCACACTCATACAACACACATGGTTACTTTCTCCATACCATATCTTATCTTACTAACTCCCTTCAGCAACCTACTCCTTACCTGCCTCTTTCCAGTATTCACTGCTGTGATGGTGGTTTGAAATAAAATGGCCCCCAAAGGGAGAGGCACTATTAGGAGGTGTGGCTTTGTTGGAGAAAGTATGTCACTATGAGGCATGCTTTGAAGTCTCTTTTCTCAAGCTTCACTGAGTGTGACAGTCATTTGACTTCTTGCTGCCTTCTGGTGAAGAAGTAGCCAGCATCATGTCTGCCATACACTACTATGTTCCCCATCATGATCATAATAGACTGAATCTCTGAAACTGTAAGCTGTCACCTCAATTAAATGGTGTCTTTTCACAGCTATAGAAACCCTGAGACAGAAATTGATATCAGGAGTAGGGTATTTCTGTGATAGACCTGACCATGCTTTTGTTTGGACTAATATAGACTTTGGTACTTTGGATTAGAAAAGCAGTGGAATGCTTTAAGCACTATTTAATGGAGCATACTAGTAGGAGCATGGAAGATAACGGTGCTGAAAATTATTTGAAATATTGGGAGCTGACTCAAGACTTTTCAGAGAAGAATTCTAGTGTTTCCTAGAAATCATTCCTGTGATATTTTGGTGAAGGAAGTGGTTGATTTTTGCCCTTGTCTGAACAGTCTGCCTGCGGGTAAAGTGAAGAGTTTTGGATTAATTTCATTGGCAGAAGAAATTTCAAAAGAGCCTAGTATAGACTCTGTCATGAGGGTATTAGCAGTAATTCTAATGTAGATTTATAAAGAAAAGTAACAAGCTGACCATAGTAAATTACAAAAAGTATAGTTTGAGGAGAAAAGGAGCACCAGAA